CGTTTATTATTCGGTTCGATCCGACCTAAAAAATAAAGGTTTTATTTTTATTAATGATGAACGAAAAACTATTATGTACTCCATTTGTCTCAAACTTTGTTAGCTTATTCGTGTATAATATACGTATTTTATACCCGTACGTATGATACACTAATTATACTCTCGAATACGAATTTTTCATGTGATAAATGTATAATACATGTTTTTTTGAACATAAGCGTATTTACGAATTGTATACATTATACCATAAAAACCTTAGGGTCAAATTAAATTTCAAATTAGATCTCTTTTTGCAAAAAATACAAATCTTTACAATTTAGCGACTCAACAATTGTAAAAGTATTAAAACTCAGATCGTATTTTAAGTCATCCACCAACATCCCTTGTTAATTAAATATCACACACTCCACTTATCTCTTTGACTTCATCCGGCTGGAAGTCCAACACTACACCCGCTCTAGCGAATAGTGGACAACAACATTTTCTCTATTTGTTTAGATTTTAAAATGTTATCAAATTTTTGTATTTACTCTTAAGATTAAATATCTATCCACGTTTAGAAATATAAATTTAATTTCATTTGTATGATCTGAATTCTAAAAATCATAGTTTGTAACTATAATAATATTCATTTTATAAAAGAAGAAATATAAAATTAATTTAATTTTACTCAACTTTAAATTATGTAAAACATTATTTTGTGAGTTCATATCTAAATTATAAAGAGACTTTATAATTTAATTATATAAATAGTAAAGTAGATAAATTAAAAAACAAAAGCTATCTCAGGGACTAGCCCAAAGCTTGGGTTTTTTCGCTAAGCAATTCTCTCGGCTCTGTGATAGAGAGGAGGTCGGAGATTTCAGCGGCTTGCGGCGATGGGGACTCGGGAGGTTTACGAAGAGCGGCTGAGAACGGGGAATCTGTATCACGATCCGACTATCAATCCTGGCCTCGGTTCTGCTCGCTGTCCTCGCTGTTTGTCTCTCTTAAACCCCACCTCTGTATGTTCCCTCATTCCTTCTCTTCTTCTTCTTCCTGTTCACTTATGCGCGATTCTCAATTACAAGTTAATTTTCGTATTAGAAGCGTTTGATGAATATCCTCTTAGATTATAAACTGTTTTTGTGAACGGCTTCATTGAATTCATTTGATGTGGGGTGCAGGATAACGAGGAATGGGCGATCACACCGGTTCTACACGACTTCACTGTTGTGGTAGGCCATTTTCTTCCTCTATGTTCGTAGATTGGGATGCATTTTTATGTATTGGAGCTTAATTCACCCAGCCTAATTATTATGTGATTTTTTTAATGAATTTTCACTTTGTGTTTCTGGGAATATCTGTAAATTGTATCATAGCCATCTACTATAGAGTATTGAATACTTCTCCATTTTCTTAATGTGAATGGATTGAGAAGGAAATTCATCTAAGACTTGTAGGTGTTTATTTGATATGCTCTGTACTTGTTCAATCTAGGCAAATTACTTAGTCTATTACTGACCCATATCATTGAAAAGGTACTCCGTAATTCGTATAGCAATCAAATATGAGTAATATCTTCTGATGATGTGTTGTATTTTCTGAATAATATGGCTGCTGAACCTTTATCACAGTTATGTCTTATAATCCAGATGACATAAGACACCAGAGATTGGAAAGGGGAATAAAATTACTGATAAATGGACAATGAGCTGGGCCGAAAAAATGGTTGTAAACTATCTATTACTCATTTCTTTTTAGTAGAATAAAATGTTCCCGAGAAGATTTATGTAAAAAAAAACCTTTTAAGATTGGCATAAGAGCTTGTTAAGTTCTACTAGTGCCCTGGGTGTGTCAAATTGAGGAAGAAGGAGAGGTTGGACTAGCATGTGTGTTACATGTTAAAATTGTGAATTGAGAATGTCAATGCTAAAACCTATTATCTATGGCTTGACCTAGTTCATTATGATGCTACTCTTAGGAGGGCCTAGAAAATGTCATTTCACTTCAATTCCATATTATGATCATTTTAGAACTTTTGGTTCCATGTTTTTCCTTTATCAGACTTTAATGTGTTTGTTTTTTGTTCTTATATCTCATATATTCTTTCAATAGGCTGGCTCTGTAATGGGTGGAATGCTTAGCACAGTCTTTGGCTTGAACACAGGCATGATTACAATTTGCAGTCATCCATTGTCTTCCTCTCCTTTATTTTTTGCTTTTGAGTAATGTTCACATTAAAATTCAGTTGAACAACTATATTTCAGGTATCCCTTTTGTTCAGAAGTGTGTTAAGGGACCAAAGTGGCTTCCTTTTGTCATAGGGGTACTCATAATGCTTTTTTGTGCTTCATTTTATCATGAGCTTGCTTTGTTGGCGTATAGTTTAATGCTGCTGCATTTTCCTATGTCAACTGAATTTAATGTCTTCTTTTTTCTTTACCTTATGGAATTTTCTATGCAGGTTCCCCCACTTCTGATGTTCTCTGCAGCTAGTGCAGCATTTGGTGGTATGCTTCCTCCTAATTTAGATATCCAAACTACTTTCTTAGAAGTTAGAACTTTTTGGAGTGCAGCAGTTTTATGCTAGCATTTTTTTGTTTACATCTAAGGCTTGCTTGAGTGCTGTGTTGTAGCATTAGTTGTTAGGGCTTAGGACTCTCCAGTTCCACTCTTCACAATTTGTACTACATGGAGTACATGCTATGTTGGAGTAGAGGCAATTTTGGATACATTTTCTTCACCTGAACATTCTTGATGTAAACACCTTTTCACTTTTCAGAAGGGTCTGGTGTTTTTTTTTTGTAAAAAATTACAACAAAACCTCTAAAATCTCAAAGAGTGGGGTTTGGAGGGGGTACTTTGCTCTTAGTTGGAAAGTAGATAGATTCTTTCTGTGAGAACCCCAGCTCAAAATAAAAGGTTACAGAAGAAGAAAAAAAAAACAACAACAACAACAACCCAGGTGAATCCCACAACAGTAGGGTCTGGGGAAGAGAAGAAAAAAACATGTAAAGGAAATAAAAAAAGAAAATCTGCGACAGTAATTTCTACACACTGGTATAGACCTCCAGGAGCTCCTATCTAAGATATATCCTCGATTAACTACTGAACTCGTAAATCATGTATAATCACATTGCCCCAACTCTCTTTATGCGTTTTGGTGTATTTCCTCTCGCGCCCCTCACACTCCCTAACTGGAGCATCCGTACTTATCTTTAATGTCGTCAAACTGTCTCGGTCTTGCTTCACACATCTTATACACCACAGAAACCACTCGCACCACCTGAATATCTTCGTTCCATACCTGTCCATCCTTGTATGACATCACATCCATCTCAGCATCCTGATTCCTTATACTCTAAGCCTTTGAATGTGTGTGTTCTTTATCGCCACTCATTGTGCTCCATATAGTATAGTCGGTCCGACCATTGTTCGGTAGAACTTTTCTTTTAGTTTCGTTGATATTCTCTTGTTGCATAGTTCACTTAAAGCAAGGTTCCACTTCATCTAAACCGCTCCAATGTGGTGAAAAACATTCCATCGATCTTCTTATTGGCCCGAATGATAGATCCAACTTCCAAGGTACTGAATACGTATCAATCTTCACTTCTACTTCTAACTCAGTTGTCAAACCATTGAAGCAACATTCCACGTATTCAGTCTTAGTCCTACGCAATCTGACTTTTGGATTCCTAGGTTTGTCTGCCCACTGCCAACCTAACATTGAGTCCCTCACGTGTCTCGTCAATCAAAATAATGTCATCCGCAAATAGCATGTCCTCAAGCAGGTAAAACATCCACCACGGCACCACCAAGGAAAACATGAAAGGACTAAAGACAGTTCCCTACAAATCTTTAGACTTATTATACGGGGCCATTCTCTAAGTTTTTTTTTAAAATATATTTTTTTATACTGGAGTGCTCGAATCTATATTTTTTTGTATCGAAGTAGCTGATAGTCATAGAAACTTTCGACGTTCATGATAGGTCATCCAGAAACAACGTCTCTATCTTTTAAACATAGAGTTCAGGCCGCGTACGTGATTACCGGTGGTGCTTGAGCCAGGAGTCTTTGGAAATAGCCTCTCTACTTTCGAGTAGGGGTAAGGTCTGCTTACACTCACCCTCCCCAAACCCTACTTGTGTGGGGTTCAACTAGGTTGTTGTTGTAATGTTTGAATCTGCTGAGTTTTCAAATTAACTCTCTGCTTATGTCTCTTTAGTTCTAATTTTGAGTACCTGTATTGCAGGTTATGTTCTTCCAAAGTTTACACAGCTCACAGTGACGTCATATTATGCTGCGTCAAGTGCATCACATCATGGCATTTCATTGCTCACGAGGCATGTTGAAGACTCCCACGCTGCACCCGCGCAACGGGAAAAACTCGGCTGATTAACTACTACAGGTGCACAAAGTGAGACCCCACTTTCCATTTTTGTACCAAATTTGGCGTGTATATTTGAGTCTAGTTTTATGATTTCGAGTAATTTTTGTTTAGTAGAAATTTTGATGCAGTTCTTAAATATAATAAATTCTATAGTGTTGTTTAAATGAATGAAAAATAACTTCAGTTTAAGCTTTTTTGTGTGTCATCTCATATACATTTAAAGACAAAGGGAATACTTGTAATAAGTATGTAGGTCATGTTTAGGAGACAACATGTTGAGCAATATGTTCACTTTTAACACTTAGGTGAAGAGCATGTCCGACAAGTCAAAAATTATAATTGTTTTGTTTGACAGAAAACACTTGAGAACATTTTGGTGTTGAAATGCTTTTTTTTTCAAAAGTGTTACGCTTACCAACATTTTATAAAACAATTTTTATCATAAAACTGTAAGTACATGAATTTTATACTCGAAACTGCTTGCTAGATAGAAAGAATATACTCCCTCCATTCCTCTTGGTTCTTCCAATTTGGACTTGTGTGGTCTCCAATGCAATATTTTGACCATTGATATCTTTATTTATATGTAGATATATATTATAAACACATGATATTTCAATACTATATTTCAAGATAAACATATTGATATTAAATTTAAGTCACAATTTGATGTATTTTTTTGCAAGTTGTGGTCCAAATTTCAAAACGTTGACTCTGCAAGTTAAAATTGGAAGAACGAGAGGGACGGAGGAAGTACTCAAGAGATGAACTTAATGTTCATCAATCACATTAAAGTTACACATTGAGAGTTTCTTTGGATGTCATCTCTATGCAAGCTAAAATGGACAAGACTTAAAGTTCTAATATCACTTTTAAGATTTCAGATGATGTAAATTTTCTAAAATCACTAATGTAGTTGTGTTTGAAGGATTGTTCTTTTTCTCATATTGATTGGTGAGTTTTAATTGTTTTCGTGGGTTGAGCTATTAAATTATACTACCTCCATTCCAGAGTATTTGTTCACTTTCATTTTTACACATCATCCAATGCACTTCTTTAATCCATTTTATCTTGTAATTTGTATATTAAAAAATTATAGAAATTATATATTAATAATCTATATATTGGATCACATATGACTATATTTAGGCTTACACATTGAGAGAATTTGATGAGTCAAAGTGTTTAGATGAACAGTTCCAAAAGTCAAAACTGGACGAATACTCCGGGATAGAGGGAGTATTAGGATTGAGTTCTCGATAGATTTGACTATTTGAGCTCTCACAAAGCCGTTGGAAGTGAGACACTTGTAATTGGTCCAAAAAGAGAGTTCATATTAGAGCCTAGAGGACTGAAGATTTATTGCTGATTTTTTTATCTGGTTTATACAGTGACTCGAAATCAAGATCTTCTGCAAAAATTTAATCTGAAGTGTGAGAGATTATCATTTATACTATTCTAACTCTTTTAAAATTTTTGAAGGGTGAACGTTTCATACTAGTTATCCGAACGAATTAGTGTACGATGTTTGCTCTTACACATGACTCCAACTCAAGGCTTTCTGCAAGTGGCCATTTGGAAAATTTTATTGAGCATCTTAGGTTGAAATGTTTTCAACAATCTCTTTTATTGATCAGAGTTAACATAGTTTCATGTTAACATATTTTGATACATATTTTATCCTAAAAAACAAGTCTAGGATGTACTAATGTGGTAGACGACTAATTATAACTTAAGGAGAGTCTTTTAGTGACTCGATTCTCTAACTCATTTGATGTTTTTTTCGAGCATTGCCTGATTCCAAAGTTGAAATTCTTTATTACACTTTCCCAATGTAAAAATCCTTCTTGTTTTATTTTTTTGTCGGATAGTAATTTTTATGTGCTTACAGCTTATAAGTTGGTCAAATATCTTATTGAGAATTTTCAAAATTTTTGTTTCATTATACTAATACGGAGTATATAATACAAATTGAGAATAAATGAAGCTTAAAATTTGTCCAGTTTAATTCGAAAAAACCAAATTGGATGCATTGGGACAGAGATGGTAAACAATAACAGACTATTTAAATTGAAACGAAGAAAATAAATTTAAACAAATTATTACTCCCTTTGTATCTAAAAGATAGTTACGTACAATTTAACTCTTTTGGTCAAACTGTGGTACCTTTTGATCACGAATTATAAAAAAATATATTTAAATTAAGTTTAATTTTAAAATATAGTTATAAAATATTAAATTTTTATAATATTTCATTTTTTTAAATTATATTTAATTTATAATAAAAAAGTTTCACAATTTGACCAAAAAAATAAATTATAGCAATATTTTAAAGACAGAAGAGTATGACAGTAGTACCATCAGACCAAGAAATTAAAAACTTGCCTAAATCAAGTGGTGACTATTGAATGTTACTCCATCGTCCTAAAACTTTCTTCCCAGAGCACTATTCCAACTTCATGGGAATTTATATTTATTTGTGTTTTTTCATGGTCTATATGATAAAATAAAATATTCTTGTCACCACTTGTTTTGTTGAACTTTTGATGTAGTTTTTAAATATGTATGTTTTATTTTTTATTTCTATACCAATATTTAAATAAAATAGATTGAAAAAACTTAGAATTTTCTTCGTTTTGCGAACCGGGAAGAAAGTTTTAGGACGGAGGGAGTAATATTTTTTTTTAAAAAAAAGTCCAGTTGGGAGTATTAAATACGAATAAAGTTACTCACACTTTACAGTTGTATACTTACCATTCACCAAACCAAAAGCCTATGATGATGCGCCCAGTTAAAAATAAAGTGAACGTTTTTTGTCGAGGACATTGTGGTCAAATCGCAAAACGCCAAATAAAATACACGTGTCACACCAAAAACGAGTCCACGCAATTGTATTGACCAAATGTGGCGCCAAATTAGGCGCCTTTGTTTTCCCTCTCCGCTTTCGCCTTCCCCAGCCCTCAGTACAGTCCGTCAATCGCACGCGCCGAGCCCGCGCGAGGAGCGTGCCCGAAACGCGGATGGGAGAGCGTGAGATATGACCGTTGCTTTGCCGAGCCCACGGCATTTGGGCTTTTAAAACGGTTCAACCCACTGGAAAACCCTAAAACCGCCTTTTGTTCTCATCTTGAAGTAACCCGAAAGGCCCGCAAAGTTTGGCGTAATTACGTGAGTGCCACTCTTCGCCTCCCCTATATAATTCGTGTATCAGTTATTCTGAAGTTTGCCGAAATCTCCAGCCGAACGGCGCTGTAAAATTCTCTCTCTCTCTCTCTTTCTGAATCTGAGATTTTATTTAATTTAAATGATTAAATAAATAAAATTTCTATTTTCTTTTTTGGTTTTAATTTCCCCAGATTCTCTTTTCTCCTGGTAAAATCAATCAATGGCCTCGTCTTCTTCTAGAAGCAAATCGAACGTTTCAGGATTCAGCCATCAATTCCAGCGATCAGTTTCGCCGTCCGATCGGTTCTGTTCATCGTCGATATCATCGCCGTCGTCGGCCTTCGCGGCCCGACGATCCGGTGCTGTAATGGATCGCTCCGCATCCCCGACCCGGGTCAATCTCCGCCGATCCGTCTCGCCGTCGCCGTCCGTCCGATTCTACACATCCTCCGACCGTTCGATTGTGGTGACCCCCAGACAGCAGCGGCAGAACAGCCGCCGCACGTTCCCGCCGAATCAGAAGAAGACGTGCATGTGTTCTCCGACGACTCATCCCGGATCGTTCCGGTGCAGCCTTCACAAGGGAATGCAATTCGCGGGCCACCAGCAGACGCAGTACCTGTCGAGCCAGTTGAACATGCGGCGGTCGGCGATGAAGAATTCTCTGGTGAGGATCGGCACCGTGGAGGGTGATTTGGTGAAGCGAGCCCTCGCCGCCCTAATTCGGCCGTCGTCGCACAGCCTCCGCCGCCGTACCGACTTCCAGCCGCGGCCTAGTCGGTTGTCAATCATGTACAAATCCGATGACTCGTGAGACGGTTGAACGTTCTCCGCAAAGTACAGTTACGGCGGAGATTTTACACCGCCGGCTCACGGGGCTCTATAATTTGCGCCGTCTCAGGCGAGGGAACCCATCCCCTGTTTTCCAGACCACGGTGCCTAAGGGTACACGTGATTTCAAATTTAGCCTAGGGAAAAAAGTATATTTACATGTTTACCCACTGCAGTTTAATGAGACTTTGTTGAGGTGCCATAATTCCATAATGGTTTTGATTAGAATTAAAAAAACAAATCGTAAACAGTCGAAGTAATTAGAGGTGGATTTAATTTTCACCCAATTTCCGAATATATAAAATAATACTTTTTTGAACTCATAATAAATAGAATAATTTAATGTGGAGGATACCCAAAAAGTGTAAATGTATTAATAGCATGTCTCCTGTGGTTTACAAAAAGGGCGTCAAAACTTCCTTTCAAAAGTTATTTGTAAAATCCTTGTGGTTTTTAAACAGAGCACACATGTCCTTCTTACCTATTTTAAAGCAAAAATGACATTTATGTCCGTTGTTTTCCCTAATTTTAAATTTTTCCAATTTCAATTTTATTTATTATACAAATATATAAAATAAAATATACACTTCTCATCTCAAATTAGAATTTTTCATAATGTACTTTTGAAAACAAAAGATTTTTATGGAGAATGTTACAAAAATATGAAAAATAAAATATTATATACAAAGTAAAAAGTAATAATAGTTAAAAAAAGGTAATGAAAAAAATAAAATATACGTAAAAAATAGTCTTTTTCTTTAACTCTATTTCATCTTTCTGTTCTTCATTTTTTCAAGTCCTTAAAAAATTATTTTACTTTTAAAAAACAAATAAGTTAGAATTTTTAATTAGAGATAAAGTGAGTATATGGTATCCAATTTTTAATTTTATTTATTTTACTTTTACTTATAATGAAAAAGTGTATTTTATTTCATTTTTGTAACATTTTCTAAAAAAAATATTTTTTTTGAAAATTATATAAACAAAAAATTTTAATTTGAGAAAGAGGGCGTATATTTTATTTTATTTATTTGTATAACAAAAAATCTAAAGAAAAGAATGAAATTTGAAAATAGAGAAAAACTAAGGGTAGTGATGGTGTAAATATAGATGGGTGGGTTGACCGGGTTTGACCTGGACACTTGACCCGTAATATAAAACACACAACAAGAACACAAAGTATGACCTAGACCGGGTAAATCTCCTCAGTCCGAAATATATTTCTTACTCTGTCTCAAGAGTGTACTAGTTTTTTAGTGAGATAAAGAATGGATCCCCTCCTTTATCAAATATCATCATATTTATAGAGGAGGATTTGTGACCTTTCCCTGTTCATCCATGGACAAAATAGGAAGCTCGTGGGAAGGTCACTGTAGTTAATAGGAACACTGTACAATCATTGATTTCAATAGCTACAAGCCAAGACACTGTTCAATCAAAGACTATAATGGATATTCACAATCCAATCAACCCTGCAAAATGACAAACATCCCTTTCACTGTGTGCCTCGTGATGGATGAGCGGCGGGGTGTCCCCTTGACTCTGCCGTGGTTCACCATGCCTAAGAGACTGGACCAATGTTAGCCAAGTAAAATGATATGACCGGTCACCTTCTCTAAAAGGTTACCCGGTCATTTCTTGCGCTCAACCCGTCTTTTTGGTCTTCTAGAATGTCCTTCGTAGCATAAGGTGATATTTTCGCTATCGCCCAAAATGTGACCGATCACTTTTTTAGTGGAAGTGACCGGTCAACTTTTGACCCGTCCAAATCGAAGAGTTAACCTCATTTGGTGATTGATAAAAGTGACCGGTCATATTTTAACCTGTCCCTTTCGGTTGTCCGGGTCGGGTATAGGGATATACCCATCCGTTAGAAATGTCATTTCATGTGTAAAATAGGCAAGAGGGAGTGTTTGTGTTCTATTTAAAAACCACAAGGATTTTACAAATAACTTTTGAAAGTAAAGAAGGTTTTGGCACTCCTTTTATAAACCAAGGGGGTCGCCCATGCTATTATTCCGAGTAATGTATTGTAGGTAGTAAAGGAGAGTGGAAAATGTTCAAACAATGCGACTTTTCACTTTGACTTTGAAAAAAAGCCCTGTATCAAGATTGTGACCGATAGGTTTATGTTTAAACAACATTCACATTAATTTTGAAAATGTAAATATTAAAGTCTAAAGACAATATTGATGTTAAACTTTAATGTTATTGTCAAACAAAGCCAATGAAAAATGTTACTTACAATATGAAGTAATTTGGTTTTTTTTTTAAAAAAAAAACATTCAACAAGTATTTGTATATTTATTTTATTTTATTTTATGACAAAATATAGGGTTATAATTCGTGATTGTTTATTGAATGATGGCTAAAATAGACATTAGATAAAAAAAATATGAATCAACTTCAGTCATCATGTATTGTACTCCATCGATTTTAACAGGGGTTGTCTTGTATGTTGGTGTTTACTTTAATTTAATTTATATAAAAATAGATAAGAAATTAAAAAGTACTCTCTTCGTCCCCATTTGATTACAAATTGGAGTTTACGAGAAGAAATTATCACACTTTTTGAACTTATTTTATTTATAAATTGTTATAACAATAAGAAGTAAAATTTATATATTAAAACTACATTAAAAGTTCTATAAAATAAGAGGTGTCAAGAATATTTTTATTTTATTATATAATTAATGAAATCCATAAACAAACAAAAGTCATTGAAAAGAGAGAAAAAATTGCAATCAAATTGGAAACAGAGGGAGTAAAATTTATATATTTAAAATTACATTAAAAATTCTTAAACAAATATCCTGTCTAATTTATCATGGGAAAAGGACTAAACTAAGAGTAAAACATATGTCATATCCCCAAAATAAGAGTGGAAACTTAAACTCCTCTAAATAGGAGTAATTAATTAATAGGGCTCCAAATTTTTAATAACCGTAATTAACACTTTGCAAAACTAAATTTAGGCCGACGCGCTCTGCCTCCAAGTCCCAATCTCCGGCAACTTCAAAAATTAAATAAAATCCAGCAACAATGGCTCACCTCCAACAACAACGGCTCACTACCAATGCCTTAACCTCCCGCAACCACCGTCGGAGCCTCTTCCCTCCGTTGCCACCTCCTGCCGTCGTTTCCATACCGCTGCCCTGCTCTGCCCCCACTTGCCGCCGCACCACCGCTACTAAAACTAACAATTGCTATCGTTGATTGTCACTATCATCGCCGACATAAATTATAAAGTAACTTACCATTCATAAAGCATACACACAAGTATAATATGAAATCTCGCATACTGACCCATTTTGTATTCCACAATGACGGATAAATCATCATTTCAATTGGTGGTGCTACTGATACCATTGCTAAAACATGGAAATATGGTAAATCGTGTTGCACCGGTCATTGCGGGTTGTCAGCATGGAGCTGCCTCCACCGCCGCATGAAAATCGAGTAGTCGTCTCAAGCCGCTAACACCATCATCACACTTTGCACTGTTATCATCGATCATAGTGCCTGATTAATAGTCTTTGTAGTGTCAAAAAAGGCATAATGTCAAACATAACAACATATAATGCTATATATGACAATGCATAATATCACATATGGCAGTGCATAATACTACAAATGCCCATATAAAATGTCATATGTGCAAATTTACAATGTCAATCAAAGACATAATGTCAAACCCGCACACTACATACCCTGCACTACTGCCAACGACCATCACTCATTTCACGACCACCTTTATGGCGGGTGGATGACCAACCGTCCCTATCAGTGGTTTACTACCATTTTTCCAACACCAAGCATCATCCCAAAGCATCCAAACAAAACTCGATCAAGTTAAAAAAATTTTAATTAAAGATCAAAAGAGAATCTACGCACTTTGGAAACCAAGGCTTTGAGGAGGGAGATGGAGGTGTGGTGGCGTAGCTTGAGTGCGACCATGAGTCTAAGAGGGGTGGGGGTGCGTGGCGGCGATGATGATTGTAATGGAATCAAGAAGGAGGATGGGGGAGAAAAGGGAGATCGGCATTGAGCAAGCGCTGACGAGTTTGAGATTGGTGGGGGTGCATGGCAGCGGCGATTCGGCGGCGGCGATGATGGGGCTGTGATCGGGTGGTGGCGGCGACGATTATAATATACGGAGTATCGAAGAAGGGGGGAGGGGCGGCTGATTGAGAAAATGTTTAGGAACAGTCGAACAGGGCCAATAATGGAGCGGGTGGTGCTTTTATAATTTTTTTAATATTTTATTAATTTAAGTCCTATTTAAGGAAATTTATGTTTGAAGTCCTATTTTGAGGATGTGCCATATGTTTTGCTCCTATTTAGGGGGTTTTCTTTTTTATCATCCAATTCCATTTCTCCTTTGTGAATAATCGTTGATAATTGAAATTGTCTAATTTACATGGTTAAATTTTTATACTATTTTTGTATATTTTTTTTATTCGTTTGATACAATACTAATGACAAAAATGGGGCTTCGTAAATAGGAAGAGTCGACTCAATGTGATATTTAACCCAATGTTTAATTAGGCCCAACTAAATATCAAGGTCCAATCGGAATGCAGATCGGGTCAAGGGGAGTGTGGTATAGAGTTGGGATGTGGCCCGAATCATTAAATGACCAGAGCGGTTCATCCCATTGATCGTGAACAATTGTTGACCGATTCTCCACGCAAAATTGACGCACGTTAGATCAATCATGCCAAGAAAGTAGAACACGTTTATATACCATGTATGTAGCGTAATTTATACTATAAATAGGGTGTGAAATCTTCATTGTAAGTCAAGCTTATATAAGTGATACTGAAATTATAATTTCTAAGAGTTTATTATTATTTTTAATTTTGTTCTTCGTACTTTCATAGTTGGTGGGATCAATCTCACCATCTATAATATGGTCACATCTTGATCTTTAAATTTTAGATGTTATTTCTAAATATATTTATATGATCAAACTTTAATCACATTCTTTACCTATTTCCGTTAATTATTTAATAATATAATATATTTCCCATTCATCTCTTGTTTTGTAGAAGTTTTGATATAGTTTTTATATTTTTTAGATCTTGAACCCATAACTTCAAGTTTCTTCCTATTTCATCCAATTTCTTCCAGTTCTTTCTAGTTTCTTCCAATTTCTTTCAATTATTTTTATTTTCTTCAAACTTTTTATACTTTTCGACGAATCACTCTAAAAAAGATTTATTATTTGTCAAGGAACCAACTCAA